TGGCTCCAAGCTACACTTAGCAGTTAGCTTAGCGGGTGTCCATACACAGCTAATCTTTACTGAGAACGAGTTTGTGAGGTGCAATGTGTTTTAATTTTATTTAAGCTTGTGCAAATATCCCCACCAATGCAGTAAACACTTTTGAACAATGAATTTACGATAAAATATTTCAGTTTTACTTAGTTTTTTACATTTAAAAAAATTCAAAAGATTTACTCAAGTTCACTTTGAGTACTCGTATTCATTTCAGCTGAGAAAGTTGAGGAAACTGCTACGAAAGGTCACATGTTTGTACATCCATGAACTTTCCCACATGAAAAGCCACGATTATAAATCAGTCATATCAAAGCTCATGTCCGCTGATGTGTTTTCTTAGTGCCTGTCGGTCCGTCTGTCTCCGAGCTGCCCGCCGGCCGGCTCTGATGGCTGCTCTGCTCACCATCATCCAGCTCAGCCAGCCTCCCTCTCCGTCTCTCTGCAGGCCTCTGGGGTCAGAGGAAGGCTGATCTTTTGCATGCTGGCTGTGGGAACCACAACACGCATGCAAAACACGCGCAAATGTTTAGGACGCCTGATGTCCATAAAAGGTCACATGGACACATGTGAACGAAAAAACGTCGGGAGAAAGTTTTCTTTTTCTCGTGTGGAATGTTTGACATGTCCATCGAGAGTTTTCTCTCGAACCGCTGGTTCTCAGTCTCTCCTCATCCCAGAGCTCTCAGGGTGAAGAGTTGTGACGGCGACCCAGTGGCCCACCAGTCATCTGAGCACTCTTTGCTGGAGCAGTCCTCCCAGTGTGGACCACTGGTTAAGGTAACTGATACACAGTTGTGCTGCTGTTGAGCTGTCGGGGTTAATTTAATAAATCTGTGCAGACTTTTCTCTTAATTAAAGTTTCCGTTGTACCATAACTACAGCTCCTAAATGGTTGCTGTCAATAAAATCAGCACCTCCTTTGGCCCTAGCGTCCATGGTTAATTACCTCTATTGCCACTAATACAGTCCAAAAGAAAATATTCGCTCCCCTTGGAAGTTTTCTCTTTTTATTGCTTTTAAATATTAGGCATTGGTCAATTTAGTTTGGCTTTTTTTTTTGGCAAGAAAGTACAAAAACAAAGACTCTTTCATGTAAAAGTATCAGGCTCAAGGATGCAATGCTGCCAAAGGTGCAATAATGAAGAAGAGGGTGGATGTAAATGCAATCACTTATTTTGCATTTTTAATTTACAGACATTATTTTGTAGAAACCTGTTTGGCATAAAAGAATCTTTGTACATTCTTGTCACAAAAGCCAGATTACATTGACCACGATTCAGTGTTACAAAGCAATGAAAGGGTGGCAAATACGTTGTGTAGGCACTGGATATGTTACGATCCCTTACATCGCTTTATAAGTGTGTTCTGGGCCACGTGGAAAATTATGCTACATCACGTCTTGGATTTTTAAAATTTTATGCAGCAGTGGAAGTAATACAAGAGAAGCTCCAATGAAGAGTTTTGAGCTTGGAGACCGACTTACTTTCCTTTTATTAGAGTTAAATATGCATTAATCCATACTGTGTGTGACATACTGTGATTTAAAAATGGGAGGTGAGAACTTCCTGTCACATGGAGATAGTAGCAGAACTGGTTTCCTAATGTTTTGTTGCAACAGCGATAGGTGCTGGATTTATTCCAGCTGCTATAAATGCAAATATTAAGTTGTAAAGGTAACGATTCAGCCCGTGTATAATGCTGTTCCCTATACAGCAACACAATGTTCACGTTTATGACTAAAAAAATGTCTATTACTGTGTCTATAATTAACTTTTATGGCTTCAGGCAAAGCGACTTCTGAAAGGAGCTCGCTGGCAGAGACCCACACTGCAGATTCTTGAGATAATTTCACCCCCAGAGGAGACAATCTGTCTTTGCCATAAGGAAAGGGGGTAACCAAGGCCACTTGAGCTTGCATACAAGAACAGACTCCTTAATTTTGCTTACCTGCAGGTGTTGGGGTTGAACCTCTTGCCCTGCCGCAGACACGACTGTGGAGTTTCCCTGCACTGACACTGGCAGGTGTCGGGGTTCAGCGGCTGATTTCCAGGACAGTCTGCGGCGCAAACGCAGCCGCACAGCTCGTCATCCCACCGCTGGCCAGTAGGGCACGTCTTCCCGTCGCCTTGGCCTTCACACTGGCATTCACCTGAGAGGAGATCAACCGCGGAAGAGAGACGGGAATGCAAGTTTGTGAATTCAGTCTTTATCAGATATTGCTCTGCAAAACCCCCTCAGCATTGGCATATTTCACAATCATGTTCCTACATGTCACATATTTGCATATTTGCAAAACCCTGAGTCCCAAAATTTCCCCTTAAACTGTTTATTTTTCTGTTTGCTCACTTGCTTTCAGATTCACAACCTTTACTTTGGAGTATTTACAGTAAACTGGTCTTCATGAAACCAAGGCTGGATGTTTTTTGGGGGAATTTTTGAACACTTAATTGTGCCGATACTTTCTCCTACAGTTATCAACTGAAACAGGCTATTCAATGTTTTCCTTACAGGTGTTGTGGTCCAGTTTCCAGCCTGGATCACAGCTGTCTTCGGTGAGTCCGTTCTGGCAGACGCACTCGCAGGTCGAGTCCTCCAGAACCCTGTTGGGCCCACAAAGAGCCAGGAGGCCTGAGTCCAGCGCCTCTGGAAGACACATGGAGGAAAGTGAAAAATGGTATGTAATCATTTTTTTCTAGCTCCGTTTTGTTTGTTGCCGCTTTGTCGATGGCAACCCGAGTACGCTGCAGAAATGTCTACAACTATGCAGCGGATTATTTTTGAAATGCTGATGGGAATTGCAGCTCTTTGAAGGGAGCCGGATGTTATGGCTACTTTGGTTTCGGAGAGACATTCAAAGGAGCGACTTGTGGTTCTTTGGACGGTTTGGCTGGTCGGCCTCACGAACGTCTGAGACCGACCAAGTGATAAAGTTACACCACTTGTCCTGAACGGCCAGATCAGCTCAAACAGCAACGGTGAAGTGTCGTCTTTGCTGATAGTCTGCATGTGAGGCATTTACATCTGTACCTCATGGTTACATTCCTCCCTGCATGTACATCAGTCAAACACTGTGCCACCAAATACCAAAATTAAATATTAAACCAGCTCAGATCTGGTGAATTTTAGCTACAGAACTTCACATTGTGCATGAGTAGTTCAAGGACAACTTGAAAATCTGTCTGTTTTTACACTTTCTGTCTCTGGCTCTGATAAATTGTGCAGTCTTGGTAATTTTTTTTTAAAAGAAAGCATGCTTTCAAAACCCACCAACAGAGTTTTATGTTCTGTGGTAGAAAGGCTTTTTTGACAATTTAATATTTACTGCTGCGAGAAAATAGCAGATTTTTTCCCCCCACATCACTGTTGGTGACAGCCCAGTCACTAACTGCTTTATGGTTGTTTTAGGGAGCGTTGAATTTTTAGATTTTTACAGAGTCTGAGTTGAGCAAACGCTGTGTTTTGGGGGCATTGCAAAGCTGAAAATCTACTTTGATTGCCAAAATCAAAGGTATAGTGTCTCCAGCGGATTAGAGTGCTGCTCACTGGCTTCTCTATCCAGAACGCTGCTGCTCAGGTCCTGACTAGAAGCAGGACCATATTAGTCCAGTGCTCCTGTCTCTGCACTGGCTTCCTGTCGCTGACTTGTGTACAACTCTCTTCATAGCCTAGCACCATCTCTGACATGTTAGTGCCGTATGAACCATGTCGGGCTCTGAGAACCTAAAGGGAGGGTCTCCTGCTGGTGCCCAGAGTCAGAACTAAACACGGTGAGGTTCTAGTTTTATGCAGGTAAAATCTGGACGTGTCTTTCAGAAGATGTGAGTGAGGCCTGACAATGTTCAAGTCCAGGCTGAAAACAGTTTAGTTAGTTAGTTGTGCATATGAAGCTGCTGAAAGTATTTTAACTTCTAATTAATGATTATACTTATGTTTTTAAGGATTGATTTTATCTGCCTCTTCACTTTTAATGTAATCAATAATGATCATGTTTATGTTTTGTGGATTGATTTTATCTGTCTTCTTATAGTTTTGTGTGAATTACCTCTGGGACGAACTGTGCTAGACAAATAAACCTGCCTAAATAAATGGTGTGACCAGACAGCAAACCTGCTGGTGACCCCACAGAGGGTGAAACTACCTGCCTCCTTTAGAAGCGCTGCTGAGGAGTCTTTTAATTCAGCTGCTTCAACGGCACAGTGTTAAAAAGAAGTCCAGACTTTGTTGAAGGGAATTGGATCATATGATCATGATCCCCAGAGGATGAACCCTAATGACTTCCGTGAACTTGTGATGCTGTTGTTCAAACGTAGCCAACTCTTTGATTGACTGCCAAGACATTAAAGCTCGTTAGAGAATGAATTCTGTGACTTTAGGTGATTTCCCCTGTAGCGCCACCATCAGGTCAGTGTCTGAACTCGTCCAGTGCTTCAGTTTATGACCAAAGCTAATCCTCGTTTAACACTTATATCGGCGTGATAACAAGCGTGAACGTCTGCTAAACCGCAGCATCTCAATTGTTTACGTTTAGCTGTATGCAAATCAATACCACGGTTTGTGCTCCAGCAAATGTGTAAATGCAAATAATGCAATTAGGTGCAAGCAACTACAGTTAAAGAAGCAGAGCGGATCGCGTTTTGTTCTTTCCTTCAGTGGTCAGCTGCCCTCGTCACATGAGCCAAAGAAGAGACGGCTTCTTCTACACTAGAGCTGGCGCGGAAACATTAATTATAGGCGTGATTCCTTCAAAAGGTTAACTGGATGTTTGCTCTGCTATTCTCAGAGTCTGCATGTACATGAAAAAGCGCTCCAGTCACAATGCAGTATGTGAGGTATGTTAGTTTCTCATCAGAAAGTAAGAAGAAGCTGAAGATGGTGAGCGCTGAAGCTCGCTGCATGATTGTACAAGTGAAATACCACAAAGACACTTTTAACTGTGTTGGAGTTGAAGAAACGTCGCCTCGGGAGGAATTTGTTTCACATCACTTAATGTGATGCCCGGGCACCATCATCATCATTTGGCTCTGCTGGTGGAGGCTTTTCTTTTTTTGGGGGGAATATAAATCTAGGTCACATGCCAAAACCTGCTCAGTGGAGGTTTTTATTTTTTCGTGTATGACTTTGCATTCTGGTTGAGAGCAGTGACCCAGTTAGAAGGCAGTGTCCACTTTTAGAAGTAAGAGCACATTTCAGATCTTTGTAACTGTTCGAGGACTGTCTGTGCTTCCATTAGTGACATCAGCGGGTGTTGTGTTTGCTTTAAGGTATCCTGAGTGCAGTATTTATTGAAAGGTAAAGCTCTGCCTTAGTGTTGCATGCTACTTGTTTAACCCTCTGCAGTTTCTTGAACTTTTTGCTCCTGTTTTCCCTTTTTTTTCTCACTGTTGGCTCATTTTTCCCTATAATATAAAGCCCTGCACCTCTATGGAAACAGAACAACCCTGGCTAGAAGGAAGTTGTCCTCTGTGCAGTATAACACAGCAATAATGCTACAAAGTGGTGATGAACGATATTAAAATTTCTGGCCGATACCATATTAAGATTTCTGATATCGCCGATAACCGATATTACCGATGTCGATATTCAATTTTTGTTCACACCGAAAAATGAGTTTAAATAAGCACTGTGAGAAAACTATTCAAAAGAAGCCCAAATTAGACCACATAGTCTTGTTTATTACGTAACAAATATATTTTAACATATTTAAGTCCAGGACCGTTTAAGTAAGAACGTCTGTGAAATAGCAGCAATATCACATGTAGAGACGAAGGCGCTAACGTTAGACAATCATCGACTAAATTTGTTCATCGGGGCGACACCGATATCTGGGAAAAAACACAAATATCGGCCAATACCGATGTGGTCGCCGATATATAGTGCATCCCTGCTACAAAGCTAAAATAGGGAAAACCGAAACTTTTTTGATTATTTAGTTTGCAAAATTTGAAAAAAATCTGGAATCAACATCCATCCATCATCTATACACTGCTTAATCCTCACTGGGGTCATGGGGGGCTGGAGTCTATCCCAGCTTTACAAATATTTAAAAAATAAATAGTGACTCCACATATTATAGGAATTTTACTCGTAACATTTGGAATTTGTTTCCATACTTGTTTCCTATCTGCTCTGTGTAAACAATGCCTGCAGTTCAGCAGAGTTCAACCAAAAATTCCCTAAATATTTGTCATGTGACGGTTGGTCGCAGCTGAGTCACGAATGTTTTTTTAGTTGCATCATGGAGTGCAGAATTCTTTTGTTTCTTCAGACTCTGGTTAGAGGTAACCCTTTATTTTTGGTGAATTTTTAAGTAGATTTTAAGCTTAGATTTGACAAATTTTACGAATGGAACCTCGCAAAACACATGAGTAGTTCAAGGACTGTTGGGAAAGTGAATAATCGGACAGTTTATACAGGTTCTGGTGCTGATAGATGGTGTAATTTTTAAAAAAGCCAACATGCTTTTCAAACCTGCCGGCAGGGTTTTGGAGAGTAAACATTCTGACCTAATACACTTGTTGCTTCACTTTCATTTCATGGTGTTAGACTGTAAACAGTAAAAGCTCAGTTTCATTTGTTAAAGGTGAGCTTTATGTTTTGTACACCACTGCTTGGCAGCCTTTCAAACATACTTTGGTGTCAGAAATATTTAAACATTTCGGGGAATCACTGATGGTCTAGACTGAATACCAGAAGCGGAGTAATTTGGCCCACATGACTCACTTACGTGTTTCTCTGTCAGAGTAGTTAATAGTATCTGTGGAGACGCACACACAGTTCACCGGATCCCACAATGACCCCGAGGCGCAGGGCAGATCAGGAGGCGAACACCTACCCGGAGACAAAAAGTATTATAAACATGTGGTGATTCACTGAGGTTTGTGGATGTGTGACTGCTCGCTCTCACTCACAGGTGATCTGTCGCTGCTCGTCTGATGATGGAGTGGAGCGGCCGCTTGGAGAGGCATTCGCACGAAGTGTGGTTGATGAAGGTCACCATGGCGACGGAGCGTTCCATCTTGGGCGGGGACAGTTCCATCAGCTGGCAGCAAGAAGGACGAAGGTTAGTGTGTGTGTTTGCAGAACCGCGTGCTGTGCGAGAAAACTGGCTTTCTTTGTTGTTTCTGGTCTTTGTTTTCCCCTTTCTCGCTGCTGCTCTCATAACAACATCGCCGGCGATGTGTGTTGCGGAGCTCGATGTCATGGTTACAAGATTGTGCAACTGTGCGTGACTGTGTGCGCTGTGTTGATTTGACGTCCGGCAGCAGCCAAAGTGTGTCCCACAGGAGTTGGGCGGGTTGAACTACAGACGAGCCAGTTACATAACCGGGCAGATTAGTTTCTGTCCTCTTTTTCTGAGTTTGCTCGAGGTGCAGGAGCAGAAAGCAAGTTACATAGAGTGTTGTTAAATAATTCAAGCCCTAAAAATTGCATGACCGAGAGGACCGGCCTCATTACTCACCGTCTTGTTGACAAACGTGTGGCTTGTGTTGGTGCAGTAGAAAGCCTCGTTGGTGCAGCATCCACCGCAGCGATGCAGCGCCACGCAGCGAGGGAGGTAGAACTGACTGGTGGATTCTGGGTATTCTTTGGCGACCTCGACGCAGACCTCTCTGGGCTGGCACGAGGTTCGCTGGATCTCCTCGAGGATGACTGAAAACATGTAGGATTGAGTAACCGGGTTTTGGTTTGCGGACATCTGAACACAAGAGAACCTTTCTCTAATGGACTAGTTACTCAAGAAAATCATCAGCCTCTCCAATACCACCTACTTTTGTCTGTCTCCAGCACAATCAAATCCATTTGGAGGCCCATAAAAACATGATTTCTCTGGTTATGTCATGACTGCTTCCCCCCCTACTTTACTCCAGTGTTTTTAAAATCTGCTGAGACAAAGAGGCTGACATTAGAAAGACGTGTGTTGTTTACATGTTGGCTGTTTACCTCCCAAAGTCCCGTCCACTTTGTAAAGAGCCTCCTCCCTCAGCTTGACCCACACGTCGTCATTGTTGGAGTGGACCAAAGGGCTCGCCGAGGAGGTGGAAAACGACGACGAAGAGGGCGAAGAAGACGTGTGCCAGGCTTTCTTCCTCATGCAGTGCTGAATCAAACTGTATTCGGGGTATAGAAGCTGCAGCAGCTGATCCACGCTTGTTACCGTCTCCAAACTGGGCTGGTCGTTCGTCTGCACCGGAGCCTGGCAGAACACAGAATCACAAAACATGACGTCACATGTTGTAATATATTGTTTACGTTTAGCTGCAAAGCTTTGCATGTACAGAAACAAGGGAAAGTAAGATACAAGCTGACTCATAAGACACACATTTCACTGCCAAAGTGCTTTTTTCGGTTATAAAACACACTTTTTTTTTTATATTCCGCAGGGTCAGAATTGAAAATGATTGGTGTGTTTGTTTTCTTTTCAGAGGAAAACTATCAGATACTCCAGAATTTCCAGTGTCAGCGTTGCTGGTTTGTGCTGGATACACAGTGAATACCTCAGCTACCAATGTGTTGTAACATGTTGCTGTTGGCTACTGTTAGGGATTGAGAGCACGCATGTCCTCTCTTCACCCACACACGCTTATTGTTGCATTTGAGCACATGAGGAATCAGCAAACACTGTGTTTTCTTTTTGCCTTAGTAGCATTTGCTCTTTTGTGTCGCTCCCTGTTGTGTAAGCTTTCAAACTTCACCTCAGGCAAAGTGATAAAAGTTCAGAATATGTGCCCCGCCGCCGCCGCTGCTGCTGCTACGGTGCCCTTGAGCATGACGCTGTAATCTGACCCAGTTCACTCATATCGGGTTCGATTTTTGCGAGATATGTCTGCCATAATGTGGCCTCCAAAACAAGTTAACCTTCTGAACTTAGATGTTTTTTGCTCGTGAGCTGCAAACATGAAGTCCTGCCCCTCTTTGGAAACAACACAACCATGACTAGAAGTAGAGAGAACCGAAACATGTGCAGTATGACACAGTTATAATGCTATAAATCATTTTAAAAAATCATCATTATTTATTATTAATCTTTAATTATTTATTTTAGGGAAATTGAAAAAACCTGGGATCAACATGTGCAACACTTTTCTAAGTGCAAACAGACATGAAAAAAAAGAATCGTGACTTCCTACATACATATTTAACTACTTCCCATACTTATCTGCAGCCTGCAGATCATCCCATGTTCTAACAAAAATTCCCAGAATATTGTTCGTGTCACTGTTGGCTGCAGATGAGTCACTAAGCACTTCAAAGTTGAGCTGGAGAGCATTGAAATTTTTGGGAATTTTGCAGAATCTGATGAGAACAAACACTTTATTTTGGGGGAATTTTTCAATAAGTCATGTAGAATACAGTCATTTTGGAGTCTCCATGTTCTCCCCGTGCAGCGTGGGTTCTCTCCGGGTTCTCC